TTTTATGCACTCCCAGAGCTGGTGGTCTGTCGCTCTGGTTTGTGTGGGACTCCAGCTAAGCTGTTTACCCACTAAAACCCTTTCCTCACCGCCGAGGTGGTGTTTGGCCTAGCACCGCGGTCATTTCTGTCCTATTGCGCCCTCTTAATTTTACTCCCTCATTATCCCTGTATATTCAATGAATTCCTAAAGAATCTTGAGGGGAGTTCGCATGATCTGGTCTGGTGGAATTTCATCTCCTCCCAGGAGTCTTCGTCTACCTGTTGCATATGACGTGCAGTGACACATGACATGCAGAGTAGTTTCGTCTTCTAATTTGCAACCTTTGCAGGTCGGTTGATCGCTCAGTCCCATCCCGAAGAGGTGATTTTTGCATGCGGCGTGTCCTGTTAAAAAAGCCACTATCCTCCTTATTTTTTGCCTGCTGAGACCTAGCAGTTCATTTTTACGTACTGGTTGTGGAGGTCCCACCAACTGCTTTGCGGTATGGAGTCGCGGTGTCTCCTCCCAGTACTTTCCATGTTGTTCGAAGATCCACTGCCCAACTGCCACCCTAACTTGGGCATGAGATATATTACAAGCAGGTTCTTGGTTGGTCAATGGTTTCTCGGTCCCTGCCTTAGCAAGTTCCGCAGCAATCTCATTTTCTTTGCTTCTGTTCGCACCAGTTGCCCAAGTGAGTTTTACTCTGTTTGAGCTCCCGGCCAGGGTTGTAAGCTCTTTTACACAATCTAGTACACATTGTGATCTGATTGTGTACGATCTTCTAAGTGCCTTTATGTGGCTTCATCTCCGGGTACGATGGTAATGTGGTTACGTGTGTAGGCTCTTTCCTTCATTGTTCGGGCGCAATTTGTTATTGCTAGGATGTTTGCTTGGAAATTGCTTTTCCCAGTTCTTCCTCTTTCGATTATACCAGCGCCTGTGCTTGACGCTGTTTTTATGCCTTTCGTGTACCATACGGAGTCCCCTGTGATGGATGATGGAGTCTCTCCACCATCTCGCCCCTCGTTTAGAACATATGTTCTAAAAGGTACCGAGATGCTTATAGTTTTGATTCGATCATTTTGATCCCATGGGTTCGACTTTCAACTTTCTGAAGATCGCACTGTGTTCCAATTCCGTCACTTTCCTGTGGACCTCGTCAGCCATACGGGAAGCGCTTCTTAGGAGGGCCTCAGCTTCAATGGATAAATGTAACGGCTCTAGCCCCAGGAGTGTCTCCATTGCGGCCGTCGGCGTCGTTGACATTGCTCCAGTTCTTCCCAGACACGCCAGCCTCTGAACTTTGTTCAGGAACTGTCGATATGTGCTGATTTTGGTTCTATGCCACCATATGACGGCGGAATATGTGATTATGGGTTTCGCAATGGTGACGTACGTCCAGTACACCATCTTCGGTGAAATTCCCCATATTTTTCTCAAACTTGCGTATACAGGTCGATAAAACCCTGATCGCCTTGTTTGTTTTCTGTTCCACATGTTCTTTAAACAACAGCTTCTTATCCAGGGTTACCCCAAGATATTTAACAGTGTCAGACATGTGTATTTTGTTCCCATATATAGACATTTGTCTTAGGGCTCTAAGATCTCTCTTCCTTGTGGAAGCGATAATATATGTCTTGGATGCGCTAATGTTCATCCCTTCCGTGTTACACCATTGTTCGGTGATGTTTAGCGCCTGCTAATCAATGATGATACAATTGTAGACCTTGAGAATTCGATAAATGAGAATTTCTGACATTCCTTCTTTTCTAAGTGGTATTTTTTATCGTTGACTGGATTTTGGTTGGTCGAATATTTTTCACAATTCAAGGAATACAATTTTCACAAAATAAGTAATTTTTATTAGCCAAATGTATTGTTCATAGATTAATAATGAAATCTGTTCTAATAAATCAGGTATGCTCAAGAACATGATTGGACTATACGACATGGCAAGACATGCAGTAGAAATTACAGCACAGTCAGAAAACAAGATTACTTGGTCCGTCATTAGGGACTCCATGAGCAACATACTTTACCAGCTCAGCAGTATGAAGTTCAAAGACCCCGTGAAAGACGGCGAGGCTAAAATCAAAGCCGATTTCGACCAATTGTATGAAGACATTCAGCAGGCTTTCAGGAATTTGGAAGATTAAATTGTTGTAGCATAAGGCCTTTCAGAAATAAAAGTATCCTCACTATCTAGATTTAATTGTATATTAAATGTTGGACGTACTATTTGAACTGTTTTAGGTAAATCACAAAGATTTTCTTCTTAACTCTTCCGATGTTACTGTACAATAATTATGTTGTTAATAGTTAAGTAATAAAGATATAGAAATCCATAGATTTTTAAACAAAAGTAGCATGGTGAGGGTAAAGCTAAGAATATTTCTTTATAAATTCCCTTCATTCCAATTATTATTAAGTACTGTTTTTCATTGCTTTACTATTGTGCAAAATAGTACTTTTTAACTTTATTCCAGTATTATCCCGAGATCGTTTTCAATTCATGCTTTATTTTAAAACGAGCCATTGTATATTGTACATCGTTTTACCATGTTTTTAAAAATTGTATAAATGTATAATGGAAAATAACAATAATTTTATTTTAGTTTGTTAGGTGTAGTAGTGCAATTTATTGTTCATTCTTAAACAACAATAAACGCATAATTGTTCCATGTTAAATCCTATTTAATTTCAATAACATTGAAAATAATTACTAATTTCGAGTTTAAGAGCATGCAATGTTACCCATTTTATAAAATCTCCACATAGTGTGGCTTGTGCTAAAAGGAGAACATTTTTCCGTTTATTGTCTAGTAAAACAACCAACGTTACATTTTGCTAAAACTGTTACGCGGACTGAATTGAAATTCCAATTATTTTCTAGACAAGACGACGTTTTGATTTTCCGCATCGCATACCGACATCGACAAAAAGTCAAAATGCCCCTGTTTGTAATTCCGGTAAGGAATTACTACTTGAAATTGTCGAAGAATTAACGTCAAGTAATCAATGATGCAATGTGCAATGCACTCATATGTGCAAAAGTTCTTTAATGGTAGTCAAAATTGCAAATGTTAGTGGGGTAGATTAGACAGAATAATTATTTCGATTTTATATCTTATACAGGGGTCGACTAAGACGATTTCATCTAACTTTTCTTAAGAGGAAATGTCTAATTCTTCTGATATTGATGGTCAAAGTTTTTTAAGAAATTATGTTTTTTCAAATATCGAATGTTATATTCTAATGAAATTCTCTGTGAATTTGTTCCTATGTAAGACCTATGTTTTGATTGATTTGAAGCAACCGAGTTCATCCGCTTTGAGCAAGTGTTTTGGTATAAAAACTATCAGGACTTTTTGATTGGTCGCTGCATCAACTGATTTTTTGAGTTGGTGCACCGATTATTTATGGACATTTTTCTGCTCTTTGTAGAATCTTGTAACATTCATACTTTTTGCGCAAAAAATATTCCTACTTCCAGTACCAGATCAGCACTTATTAATTTTGTGCAAAACTTAAATTAAGTTTTTTTAGTAATATCGTGAGAGTGCTCAGATTAGAGGTGTGATAAACGGTTATTCTTCTGTAATTAAAAATGCATAATGATGATGATAGTAGAAATAGTGATTATATGTAATGATTTCCTTTATTAAAAACATAATTCTTAACATTGGTAAACTTTTAAAAAGATGGTGTACGTCACGGGACGCTCGATAGAAGTGATAACTTCATAAATTAATAGAAACCATAAAATATTGAACTTATCTAACGCATGATGGCAATAATAATTTTACTTTATAATTTTAATATTCTTGTTAGCCTACTAACTTATAAATGGATCAGGAACAGGTAAAATTTAATTTAATTTCCTTTTGAATGTAAAATATCTTTTTTATTTGCAACATTTAACATTCTTTAACGAGATGTTGTACATATTGCTCTTCTTGGGTTTGTGTAAACCCTTCTTGAGTTTTTGTATTTTTTTGTCGTAATTTCTTATCTGCTTTGTATAATCTTTGACGTTCAGCACTAGTTCGTGGTTGATGAAAGCTTCTTTGAGTTGATCTATTACTTAATGCTCCTTTTTTAGCACGAAATGGTTTTTGGCGTTCAGCATTACTTAATACTTTTTGCATTGTATCATGTTTTGCGACTGCTCTTGTGTATGTTGTTCATAAACGTCTGCTACAACTTGTATCTGAATAGGGCAAAAAAATCAATTAATTTTGGTGATTGGAAGACGTTATATCGGTTTAAAATAGACGCTAAAACGAGGAAGAGCTATAGAGACAGGATACACTTGACATACTATATGTATACATAATGAAAGCCATCTTTTGGTATGTTCAAAAAAAAAAAATTCTAACTGAACTAGTCCAAGGCTAAAAAAACTAAACTAAATTGAGAACATTTAATCATAAAGGCATCAAAGGGTATATGAAGGAAAAAAATCCATTTTGATGCGTGGTAAACACAATGAATCATAGAGAATTGAAAATAAGCCCTGATAAATTAGTTTTACATATTTTGCAACTATAAGCTAAAGAGAGATTCGTATCGTCTTAACATCAAGAATGCGTTGCGTGATAGAAAATAAGAAGACGGAACCCATGTTTTCTGAAATAACGCACGAAGCAGCGTTTGGCGCTGGTCTTGGTGAAGACCACCAACAAGACCATCTGGAAAATATCCAGATTGTTCAGCATGGTGGTAAAAATAGAGGCCAAACATAAGTCGCAGGAACCAGGGTGTTATAGGTGCCCGCAATTGCACCTACCAGGCACGCTGTGTGAAATGTAAAAACCACAGAAGCAGTGAGTGCACACTGCCCACGTCTGCAGAAGGTAAAGAGCGCAACAGTAAGTGTGCGCTCTGTGGTACTGCGGGACATCCAGCTAGCTGGCGGGGTTGCCCAAAGTAACCAAAAAAGACAATCCCGGTAGTCCGAAAGGAGACCAGGAAGCAGCCCACCAGCTGGACACCTTGGACCAGCAGGAACTGGCAGGCATTTTGCGAGCAATACTGGACAAGCTGCATGGCTAAAAAGCCATCGAGTTTTACAGTGGCCTCGTGGAATGTCGACGTCCGGAACTGGACGTATTCCTGCAGAGCAGACAACCTGAAGTGGTAGCACTGCAGGAAACTCTGTTATGCTCTACCACCAGAGTAAGATTTAACAATTATTCTTTTTTACAGGTAGGACACTGCCAGCAGACGACCAGGAGTGGCCTTTCTGGTGAGAAAGGACATAGACCATCACAGCCTTGACATTGAAGACACCGACTTGCATGCTATTAGCGTGCAAGTCAACACTACCAGGGGACCTGT